AGAAGTGATACCCTCCTATGGAACCCCTTGCGCGGCAAAAGATCGTTTAGAAGACCTCATCCCACCTATATTGACCAACTTGTAGATGATTCTGGATGCGATCTGGAGAACCTGCCGACGGCGATGTCTGATAGAGATGGTTGGAAGAAACGAATCATGAGAATCCAAGAAGATTTCTCAACCTGAAGAAGTAGAAGAATAAGTATCTGACAATCTTAACATGTGAGTGATACCCTCCTATGGAACCCTTTGCGCGGCAAAAGATCGTTTAGAAGACCTCATCCCACCTATATTGACCAACTTGTAGATGATTCTGGATGCCATCTGGAGAACCTGCCGACGGCGATGTCTGATAGAGATGGTTGGAAGAAACGAATCATGAGAATCCAAGAAGATTTCTCAACCTGAAGAAGTAGAAGAATAAGTATCTGACAAACTTAACATGTGAGTGATACCCTCCTATGGAACCACTTGCGCGGCAAAAGATCGTTTAGAAGACCTCATCCCACCTATATTGACCAACTTGTAGATGATTCTGGATGCGATCTGGAGAACCTGCCGACGGCGATGTCTGATAGAGATGGTTGGAAGAACGAATCATGAGAATCCAAGAAGATTTCTCAACCTGAAGAAGTAGAAGAATAAGTATCTGACAATCTTAACATGTGAGTGATACCCTCTATGGAACCCCTTGCGCGGCAAAAGATCGTTTAGAAGACCTCATCATCACCTATATTGACCAACTTGTAGATGATTATGGATGCGATCTGGAGAACCTGCCGACGGCGATGTCTGATAGAGATGGTTGGAAGAAACGAATCACAGAATCCAAGAAGAATTCTCAACCTGAAGAAGTAGAAGAATAAGTATCTGACAAACTTAACATGTGAGTGATACCCTCCTATGGAACCGCTTGCGCGGCAAAAAAGATCGTTTAGAAGACCTCATCACACCTATATTGACCAACTTGTAGATGATTATGGATGCGATCTGGAGAACCTGCCGACGGCGATGTCTGATAGAGATGGTTGGGAGAAGACGAATCATGAGAATCAAGAAGAATTCTCAACCTGAAGAAGTAGAAGAATAAGTATCTGACAAACTTAACATGTGAGTGATACCCTCCTATGGAACCCCTTGCGCGGCAAAAGATCGTTTGAAGACCTCATCCCACCTATATTGACCAACTTGTAGATGATTCTGGATGCGATCTGGAGAACCTGCCGCTGATGTCTGATAGAGATTGTTGGAAGAAACAATCAGAGAATCCAAGAATTCTCAACCTGAAGAAGTAGAAGAATAAGTATCTGACAAACTTAACATGTGAGATACCCTCCTATGGAACCACTTGCGCGGCAAAAGATCGTTTAGAAGACCTCATCCCACCTATATTGACCAACTTGTAGATGATTCTGGATGCGATCTGGAGAACCTGCCGACTGTCTGATAGAGATGGTTGGAAGAAACGAATCATGAGAATCCAAGAAGATTTCTCAACCTGAAGAAGTAGAAGAATAAGTATCTGACAATCTTAACATGTGGTGATACCCTCCTATGGAACCCTTTGCGCGGCAAAAAGATCGTTTAGAAGACCTCATCCCACCTATATTGACCAACTTGTAGATGATTCTGGATGCCATCTGGAGAACCTGCCGACGGCGATGTCTGATAGAGATGGTTGGAAGAAACGAATCAGAAATCGAAGATTTCTCAACCTGAAGAAGTAGAAGAATAAGTATCTGACAATCTTAACATGTGAAGAATACCCTCCTATGGAACCCCTTGCGCATGAAAAGATCGTTTAGAAGACCTCATCCACCTATATTGACCAACTTGTAGATGATTCTGGATACCATCTTGAGAACCTGCCGACGGCGATGTCTGATAGAGATGGTTGGAAGAAACGAATCATGAGAATCCAAGAAGATTTCTCAACCTGAAGAAGTAGAAGAATAAGTATCTGACAATCTTAACATGTGAGTGATACCCTCCTATGGAACCCCTTGCGCGGCAAAAGATCGTTTAGAAGACCTCATCCCACCTATATTGACCAACTTGTAGATGATTCTGGATGCCATCTGGAGAACCTGCCGACGGCGATGTCTGATAGAGATGGTTGGAAGAAACGAATCATGAGAATCCAAGAAGAATTCTTAACGTGATATCTGTGTCATCATAGACGTGAGAATATGGTTTCAGCTGACGAAATAACTTGCTTGTCCTGTCGATTAGACCAAGAATATTAGGGGCGGCACCCACTAATGTTGGGGTTATAAACTGGGATTGGCGTGAGCAAGATACGTTTCGACATCATGCCCGAAAACTCCCATGCATTGCAGGCGTATGGTGCCACAGTGCATTTAAAAAGAAAAGGAAATTAACGGAGTGTGCTTACGCATATGTAGAACTCTCCCACTCAACTAATCGGATGCTTCGTCATGATCTATAAAATGTGTGCGTCTGAAGGCTTTGAAAGTGGAGACTGAAGAAGCCGACGAGGGCGGCGAGAGACAGCTGCCCTGCACGCCGAGAGACGGCTGCCCTGTACGTCGAGAGACGACTGCCGTGTATGAGAGACAGCTGCCGTGTACGATAGACGGCTGCCCTTTACGCCGAGAGACGGCTGCCCTGTACGAGTGATGGCTGCCCTGTACGAGAGACGGCGGCCCTCTAAGAAAGAGACGGCTGCTCTGTACGCCAAGAGACCGCTGCCCTGTACGCCAAGAGACCGCTGCCCTGTACGAGTGACGGCTGCCGTGTACGATAGACGGCTGCCCTGTACTCCGAGAGACGGCATCCCTGTACGCCAAGAGACCGCTGCTCTGCACGCCGAAACGGCTACCCCGTATGAGAGACGGCTGTCCCGGCGGCACTGAGAAATGGCTGCCCTGTACTCAGAGAGACCACTGTATTGTACGCCGAAAGACGGCTGCCCTGTACGAGAGAAGGCTTCCCTGTACGCTGTGAGACAGCTGCCGTGTATGAGAAATGGCTGCCCTGTACGAGAGACGGCTGCCCTGTACGCCGACAGACGGCTGCCAAGTATGCCGAAAGACGGCTGCCCTGTACGCCGAGAGACGGCTGCCCTGTACGAGAGATGGCTGCCCTGTACACCGAGAGACGGCTGCCTTGTACGCCGAGAGGCGGCTGCCCTGAACGACGACAGACGGCTGCCCTGTACGAGAGATGGCTGCCCTGTACGTTGTGAGTCAGCTGCCGCGTATGAGATATGTCTGCACATTACGCAGAGACGGCTGTCCTGTACGCCGACAGACGGCTGCCCTGTATGTCGAAAGACGGCTGCCCTTTACGTCGAGAGACGGCTGCCCTTTACTAGAGAAGGTTGCCCTGTACGCTGTGAGACAGCTGCCGTGTATGAGAGATGGCTGGCATGTACGAGAGACGGCTGCCCTCTACGCCGACAGATGGCTGCCCTGTACGAGAGATGGCTGCACTGTACGTTGTGTGACAGCTGCCGTGTATGAGAGATGTCTGCCCTTTACGCAGAGACGGCTGCCCTGTATGAGAGACGGCTGCCCTGTACGCCGACAGACGGCTGCCCTGTATGCCGAAAGACGGCGGCCCTTTACGCCAAGAGACGGCTGCCCTTTACTAGAGATGGCTGCCCTGTACGAGAGATGGCTGCCCTGTATGCCGACAGACGGCGGCCAAGTATGCCGAGAGACGGCTGCCCTGTACGCCGAGAGACGGCTGCTCTGTACGAGAGATGGCTGCCCTGTACACCGAGAGACGGCTGCCTTGTACGCCGAGAGGCGGCTGCCCTGTACGCCGACAGACGGCTGCCTGTACGAGAGATGGCTGCCGTGTACGATAGACGGCTGCCCTGTACTCCGAGAGACGGCTGCCCTGTACGCTAAGAGACCGCTGCCCAGCACGCCGAAAGACGGCTGTCCCGTATGAGAAATGGCCGCCCTGTATGAGAGACGGCGGCACTTAAGCAGAGAGACGGCTGCCCTGTACGAGAGAAGGATGCCCTGTACACCGACAGACGGCTGCCATGTATGCCGAAAGACGGCTGACCTGTATGCCCAATTACGGCTGCCCTGTACGCTGCGAGACGGCTGCCCTGTACGCCGAGTGGCGGTTGCCCTGTACGCTGCGAGGCGGCTGCCCCATAGGCCGAGTGAGGGTTGCCCCGTATGCCGAGTGACGGCAGCCCTGTTCCAGCGGGTCCTTTTTGGCGTGACGGCTACAAATATTGGGTTGATACATAAATTGGTTCGTTTTCAGAATATATTTTAATACTTATTATTTATTAATAGATCTGATGAATCTTTCAATAATGTTCTAGGTTTTGAAGTGAAAAATTCATCAAGTCGCGTTTTAGTTTGCACGATGTTGTTGAACGAAACAACTCTCAAATTGTTAGAATTGGCTAAATCAGGTGAATGGGTGTGGCAGAATTTACTAACCGAGTTATTTAATTATATAGAGACGCGTGTAAATAAACTCAAGAAGAGCGAGGCTAACGTGAGACGCTGCTTACCGCTTTACCTAAATCCACTCTTCAAGGAACCAGCGAATTTTTTCTTCTCGACAAACCTTGCATGTTTCCTGCAGGTCGATATTTTTATTCTGTTATTTTTTGAATATGGTATTCATTTCGGAAATGATTCTTTGGAAGATTCCATTCCATTCAGGACTCGTCTATCCAAATCGATCAATCAAATAAAAATGATTAATGTTTTTTCTTCAACAAATTTTCAAACGTGTTTCTCATTTTCTTTTCTTTTCGTTTTTTTACGCGGGAACGTTGAAGAAGCCATTGATAAAAGAGGCGACAAATTGAAAGCCACTTTCGAACAGTCCGGTCAACGGCAAAAATTGGAAGACTTTAAATTGGGGAAATGGGGTAGGGGTTGGGGGATCGTGGTGGGGAGAAGTAAAAAAATTGAACATCAAAAGAACAGAAATACAATATGAACTTTTATATTTACGTACAACTTTGTTTTTTGGTTTTGTTTTATTTTTCAAAAGCGATGCTTTGTTCTTCAAATGAATTGAGGAATCATTTACAAATTGAAACGAAAGAAAGATTCTTTATTTCTTTCTCTCTCTCATTTTGCTTCTATCTATCTATCTATCTATCTATCTATCTAAGTCTGTTCATATCTATCTATCTATCTATCTATCTATCACAGTCTGTTGATGTCTATCTATCTACCCATCTATCTATGTTCATATCTATCTACGTCTGTTCATATCTATCTATCTATCTATCTATCTATCTGAGTCTGTTGATATCTCTCTCTCAGCCTGTTCATACCTTTCTATCTATCTATCTATCTATCACAGTCTGTTCATTATCTATCTATCTATCTATCTATCTATCTATCTATGTCTGTTCATATCTCTCTCTCAGCCTTTTGATATCTATCTATCTAGCTATCTAGCTAGCTATCTAGCTAGCTATCTATCTATCTGAGTCTGTTGATATCTATCTATCTATCTATCTATGTCTGTTCATATTCTCTCTCAGCCTTTTGATATCTATCTATCTATCTATCTATCTATCTATCTATCTATGTCTGTTCATATCTCTCTTTCAGCCTTTTGATATCTATCTATCTATCTATCTATCTATCTATCTATCTCCTTCTATCTATTTTTTCGTTCATCCTGGGTATGATGATAAAATACATCCTACAGACCTCTGACTAGTACGTTTTTGAGTGGTATGAATCCACCTCTTAATTGCTGTTTTCCCAGGTCCACCCTGACCCAGAAAGGTAGCACCTCATATATATATATATATATATATATATATATATATATATATATATATATATATATATATTTTATTTTAGATTTAAAAAATATTTATGCATTTTTTGTGACCTTAAATCTACCTGGTAGCAGAACGTTGTTCATCATGTATGCCGTTTAAAATCTACAAATACCTTATTATACAAATGAAGGATTAACAATATTTTTTTTTCCTTTCTACAATTTACCTTCATCTTCGTTCGCACCTGTTTACATCTCTGAGGTATTGCATTTTCCAACAACAGCCTCTTGTCTGATACACACAGGGTGATGGAAAAGTAACTCTTAATATTATGTATGAGTGGCCAGCCAGGAGTCCTGACTTAAAGTTCTATTCATATTAAATGCTCTATACAATCAATAAAACGTTAAACATGAACTTCTAAACCATACTAGTGATGACACGAACGAATTGAAATATTTAACTGACTCCTAATAAAATTAACTTTCATTTCAATGGAATGTTGAAATAAACTTCAATGTTTTATAAGGTGAACCGTCCTTGATCCAATGTGTCACGATGAGTCTAGTACTATATATAAATAAGAACGGAAAAATGGAGTAAATCCTACTCAAATCCTACTCTAATGTGGCTACTTGCCATGTTTATAAGTAGGAGCAATCCATTGTCACAGTAGTAGGTAAGTGAAGGATGTACATTGAGACATACTGTATAACAGCATTATTAGCCGTTTCATTGACAGTTACTGCTTTCAGTTGAAGTTAATGAAATCATTCTCTTAAGACAATTATATCTCGGAAAATAGGTTTTTTCAAGCCCAGACGTTGTTATCGATGTTTCCAGTGTTTTGCCTAGTGTTCTTATTATTACTGGAAGAACGGTTATATTTAAATGGCTCATTCGTGCAATTTCTTTTTCCAGGTCATTATTTTCAAAGTTTGTCAAATTCTTTTGCTTTTTTATGACAGCCATGTTTTCTCTTTTTAAAGTCATTTATTATTTATATCTTGTTTTTGAATTGTAAAATGTGATTGGTATTTACAGTGAAGTCTTATATATATATATATATATCACATGGATCCTACAAAAAATAGATTAGTGAAATTAATGATATAAATGGTGAGAATACATCTTTGCAAACAAATTTATTAAAATTACATTAAGCCACGAACCTCTAGATCAGTGGTTCTCAACCGGGGTCTACATGGACCCTAGGGGTCCATGTAATATTTCCGGGGGTCCACAGGCAAAACACAATTGTTGTGTTAATTAAAAATAGTAATAATAATTATTATTATAATTTAGAATATTTTATTTGTATTAAATTAGTTTTCATTTAAAAATAAAGCTTAATCGTATACTATTTCTTTGATAATTAAAACCTTAAAATTTATATTAGTGAAGAATAGAAAATTGTTCTTATGTCCAATAGCTATGAAGGGGTCCACCAAGATAAAAAGAAGGGGAAAGGGGTCCATGGGTAAAAAAAGGTTGAGAACCACTGCTCTAGATGAATGTTGTGATCCCTGTTTTTAATAAATTCAACTTGTATAAGGTGTTTTTTTTGCTAGTACTTTCATCTGTTCATACAGACATCATCAAGAATGGAAAGTGATTTGGTTTTTTTTAAATACATCCAGATAATAACGGGACACTAAAAATTGTCAACCATGGTGAAGCAAATTTCCTTTAGAAACTTTTATTTGTAGTAGAGTGGAATGTCAACCTATTTTGTTTCTCGCTTCACGGACAATGTAACATTACTCAGTATTTGTTTCATGTCTCCTAAATTTTTAACTTTTCCGTGTCCATGACGCAATAGCTTGTCCTTGCTGATTTCCTCTCTTTCTTAAACATTCAGCTCGCCTCTTGAACAAACAAACGTTTTCAAGATTGTTTTGATAGACAGGAATCAATGCGACCGTAAACTCAAGGGCGTCGATCAGGAATTTCACAAATGGAAAATGATTGCTCCCAAGACAAACACCATGGCAACGAGTTAAAGTTTCTGGTATCTGCCTGCAACTGTAGGTCAGTTAATTTGCGGAAGTGGAAGAGAAACGTAAGAGTCGTATTTCAAAATCTGAGGATTTCACACAATTTATTCAATCCAAAGTATTGGAGTTTAGGAAAACGTTTTCATTAAATGTCAAACTTCAACAAAATCAATTTCTTCAAAATTTCAAATCAAAAAACATGAAATATATATATATATATATATATATATATATATATATATATATATATATATGAAAATATATTGAAAATAAAAGGAACTGGTTAGGTAAATAATCCAAAAATCTCCTTTATATATATATATATATATATATATATATATATATAATTTTTTTTTTTTATATGATTCCAAAACGCTACATACAGTAAATCTCATGTTTCAAAACAAGAGCCGAAAACTTCAATATAATTATTTAAATTAAATTGAGTTAAAATAAGCTCTGTTCCATCTTCAAGCGAAATTTTTTTTGAATCTTGAAGATAGAACAGAGCTTATTTTTTTCAAAATAATTATACGGCAATTTATTTATATAAACAAGGATCAATTCATTCATAACGGATCTGGAGGTTTTTGTGTACTATTTTGAATTGTTTATATATGATGGATGTCTCGCCATTTAAACCATTAACCTTTGCATTAGTTTTTGTGTGAATAATTCATGTATTTGTAAATTGATTGCACGTTTATTGTAATTTAAATAACTGATCCATGTGCGACTTTTAGATAATAAGTGCGACATTACTGTAATTATTGAACAATATAGTTCATGCCACTTTTGACAGTAAAATTTACCAGTAAAAAATTTGTTCATCACCATATTTGGTATAAACGCAAACAACTTTAAAAATTTAAAATCAAACTCAGCGTTGCTTTGGCGCGTTCAAAAACCAATAACTCATTTTTCAATAGCATTTCGGATACAATAATACATATATTTTCGATGTCCTCTTATTACTAAGAGAAAAAACAAGAACAACATCTATTATATACCTGAAGATGTCTGTAGGAACAGACGAAAGCTTGTAGTAAAAATAACAACTAATACGGCAGAAATTTATATAAACAAGGATCAATTCATTCATAACGGATCTGGAGGTTTTTTGTGTACTATTTGAATTGTTTGCGATGATGGATGTCTCGCCATTTAAATCATTAACCTTTGCATTAGTTTTTGTGTGAATAATTCATGTATATATATATATATATATATATATATATATATATATATATATATATATATATATATATATATATATATATATATACGCGGATATTCAGGGTAGACATTTTTCCCAATAAGAATTTACCTGTAAAAAAAAATGGCTCTTTTAGATTTATAGTTATATTTAAACCAAAATTTATGTTTGAAATATTTATTTAGTTAATAATTTTATTTTACTTTATGTTATAGGTTTTTAATTGGACTTTGAGTTTGATATTCTGGACAATTGTTTTTAATATATATCAAAACACAATTTTTCTTCTATTTTTTATCCATTTTTTTTCCTTATATAATCTTTGGTTTGAGATTTAGAGGAATAAAAACACCTAAGGTTTCTCCAACAAGTATAATTATATATATCCAATATATATATATATATATTGAAACTATATAATATGGATCCGAATCTGACAGAATGATAAGATAAAAATAATTAGATAGGAGATATTTATAAATTTCTGATATTATTTAATTTTTATTTGTAATTTAAAATATGGTGAAATATAAATATTAATGTTTTTAAATAATAATTCCTATCCTTGTTTAAATCGTTTATTGCAAAAACGATAAATTTATAATCTCCAAGGTCAAATATATATCAAACAGACATTCTCATCTCACAATCCTCATCACTATTGCTACATAATGCCTTTACTTTGTAAATCACTAACGGATTGTAAATGCCCTTTTAGACGAAATTTCATAACTGAATCAAACCATATTCTCTTAATGGATCCTCATACGTTTGAACCGACGTGAGATATATATATATATATATATATATATATATATATATATATATATATATATATTCTAAAAACAAAATTGTTCAAAAAATTTTAATTCTGTAACTTAAATCGTCAAAAATTTTCAGTAAAACAAGTGGTATGATTTTGTATTATACAACCTAACTGTCAGGGTTTCAATTCTTGGTAGTGGATAAAGCACTGCTGATGAGTCCCAAATATATAAATAGAAAAAAAACGTCCATTGCTTTATATTTTTTGCAATGAAATTAATTCTTTCAGACTCGATGAATTATATATATATATATATATATATATATATATTAAATATATATATATTCATTTTTTGATCGAATATGGATTAATAATCCGATTTAAATTTATGATAAAGAACAAATTTAAATATCTACAAATTTTTAAAATTTTTTTTAAAAATTGATTTATTTCAATTTTTAATCCTATTATCTCGGTAATTAATTTATAAATTTGTGTAATTGATTTGTAAATCAAACCATTAGGAAATATTAATAATTTTTGCCTTTTTAAAACTAGGATGAAGAATCATGTCTTCAAAAAAAAAAGACGCGTTCTTTCCAATTGTCTTCTTATATATATATATATATATATATATATATATATACAGAAATATAGAGGTTAATGATTTAAATGGCGAGAATACATCCTCGCAAACAATTTCAATAAGTTACATTAACACCGAACTTGTATATGAATGATATGATCCCTGTTTACATATTCCAGTTGCATAAGGTCTTTTTAATTTTTTATAATTTTTCGTCTGTTCCTACAGACATCATCAGAATTGAAATAGATTTGTTCTTGTTTTTTTTATATCTCGGTAATAAGAGGACAACGAAAATAAATATGTAATCCGAAAAAATGCTATGAAAATGTTTATTGTTTTGGAACGTTTTTCGCAACGCTAT